ACCCTTCTTAACTACAGGTGGACTAAACAGTGCAGTCTCCCCATGAACCCTGGAAGGAAATCAAGGAACCATGTGGATGAACACTTGTAGGCTTTCTCATAAACCCTTAAATCATAGCTTTCTTTTCTTTTTACTTAAATTTTTTAAAAAGATTTTTGCTATAGGGTACATGCTTTTGCCAGAAAGACAGAGAGAGACAGAGAGGCAGAAAGTGAGAAATCACCCCCCAGGGAGGATGGCCACACTACAATTCCTTCTCTTCCATTCTCCTCTCAGGATCTTGGGCACACACGCACACTCACCTGGCGTGAGTTTAAACCACTGGGTCCGGGACTTGAACCAGTCGACTACATTGGAGTCCAGCATAGCCATTATGCCGACTGCTGGTCCCAAAGCTTTTTCTTTTTTAAATTTAGTTATTTCTTCAGAGAGAGAAAGAGTCAGGCACCCCCAACAGGTTTTCACTCTGTGATTCATCTCCATTCTTGGCCAGCCTTCATCATGGATGCATGTGTACTCAATGCACTCAAGTAGACCTCAGTACACAAACCTAGGTTCTTTCCCATTTTGTTCCAGTTGCGTCATCACCTGATCTGCAAATCTCTTTATTTCTTGATGGCATTTCTAAGGAAACAAAGTGGTCTTGAAATTCTCTATATTTGCCAGCCTCCTATATGACAGGTGCTTTTTTTTTTTTTCCAGGTAATTTTTAAATTATTTTTATTTTTTAGTATTATTTTATTTAACTTTATTTATTATTATTATTTGCCAGTTTGATTAGAGAGAAGAGGAGAGCATGAAAGCAAGTCACCAGATCCAGGATTCAAATCCCCATTGGCCATGTGGGAGTCCAGTGCCTTTAACCACCATGCCACCTGCCAGCCCCTACAGGTGATTTTAAATACAGGATCATATTTTGTTTTTTAAAAGGCCCTGTGACTTCTTAGCAGAGCAGGTTTACCCTTTTCACTCAGTAGCACCTTTCTGCACTGACCTCACTGCACTTGCACTGAGCCTCCATAGAAGCATAGAACGTGCTTTCTGTTTGTGCGTGATCGCAATTTTAACTTCTGAGTTCCACACACTTGAACATGAATGAATGTGCGGGACACTTTTATAGTTGCCACTAGGCATAAGGAAAAAAAAAAATCAAGGTTTTCTTTTGAGGCAAGTACTGAAGTAAGAGGCAACAAAAAAGATGATGAATTATTTTTATCTATTCTGTTCAAAAATAATATGCATGCTAATAAACTATTTTTCCCTCTTAGAAGGGGGTTGATGAATTTGGCCTCAGTAGAGGCTACACAATGATTTCCATGGTCTTTCCTCATTTCCCACTTAAGAGGGAGACTTTACTATTGACCATCTAGATAAACTCACTCAGTGTATTATGTACCCCTTTAAAATCCTACTGACAAAATGTAGGCTGAATATAAACCCTTCTCAAACTTCAGTTACATCCTAAGAACCAGTATATTCTGTGCAAAATCAAAATCAGACTCTGATCACCAGCTTATTTGGAAAATACTTCATGGCTCTTGTAGATATGTGAGGTGGAAGCATGTGGATATCTAAACTTCACTGTCAGGGGATTCCACAGAGGAAGGGAAGGATTTCCAAGGATGGTCTACCGAGAGATGGGATGCTTGAAGTCAAGGAGCAGGGATGTGATTCTGGGCTCCCTCTATCACAGGAAGCAGGGTTTCAGCCTTCAGAAAAGCCAGTGAATTGCTGGTCAGTAGATGATATTCCACTTTGGGCATGAAGGGCATACTGAGGAAAACCCAGGGGAAAGGCATTGAAGTGTGAGAAAGTGCTCGTATAGGACTCACATGCCAGCACTTCGGCAGAGTCCACTTGCAAGAAAACCTAGGGTTTGGGACAGAAGGACCCTTAGAAAATGAAGCCCATAGACAATCCCCAGCTAATGCTTTATTCTCACAGCTTTCTTCCTTCTCTAGGCCAGCTTTTAGTACTTTGGCTAGAGTGCTTTCTTTTTAATGGTCTATCTTACATTTGGAAGTAGTGAGAAGAATAGTGAATTAAAAAACAGAAGGTCTCAGGTTAGGAGGGGTGGAACAGTATGGGTGCTAGCAAAATTCTGGCCACAGGTCTAGACCCAATTCTATCACTTATCAGCCATGTGAACTTAAGAAAACTACAAATTCTGGGACCAGTAGATGGCATAGTGCTTACATTGCTGGACTCCCATGTGGTTGACTGTAGTTTGAGTCCCGGATCTGGCAACTTAAAATTCATGCCCAGCATGTGTGCATGCATTCCCAAGATTCTTAGAGGAGAATGGAAGAGAAGAGATTGTGGCGTGGCCTTCGCCGCAAGGGGTGATTTCTCACTTTCTTTTTCTCTGTCTTTCTGGAAAGCACACAAACTCTATAGAAAAAAATCTCTCTCAAAAAAGAAAAAAAAAGAAAATTACAGGTTCTAAAAATTATATCTGATAAAATCAATCTTGTAGGATTGTTGGAATATATGTAATGGATATGAAGCACTTGGTAGAGTGATTAGAAAATACTATGTATTTTAAGTTATCAAATACTTTTACTCTCTCCTGTGAGAAGATTTTTTATTAATTCTGAAGAATATGCAGCATTCTAAAATAGTTAATACCTAATTATCCTATATTGCAAATAAAAACAAATTCCTACATTTAAGGATGTTATTAATTTGCATGTAGGGGAGTCTTCCCCAGTTGGATACAACTTTGTATCAGGAATCAACAACCTCCCTCCCAGGTGCCTTTCCATCCAAACCATCCCTATTTTCATTCATTTCACCATTATTCCAAATATCTCCCTGAGAATTTGCCAAATTGCACTCAAGATAACAATTAAAATGCGGTTTTAAAGCATTTTAAAGCACTAGCTTTCTGGGAACCAGCAGTTAGCGTAATGGCTATGTTGCTGGACTCCCACGTAGTTGACCACGGTTCACGTCCTGAACTTGGTGGCTTAAAACTCACACCAGGCATGTGTGCATGCGTGCCCAAGATCCCGAGAGGAGAATGGAGGAGAAGGGATTGCAGCGTGGCCATCCCCCCTAGGGGGTGATTTCTCGCTTTATGTCTCTATGTCTCTTCTATCTCTATGTCTCTCTCTGTCTGTCTGGCGAGCGCACGCACCCTATCGCGAAACCCTCTCCAAAAAAAAAAAAAAAAAGCACTAGCTTTCTCAGTGCAGGGCAAAGAAAGCCAACACAGCTACAGGAGCATTTCACCCTTATTTCTCAGAAATTCCCTGAAGACATCATGCATAAAACAACTAGCATGTGCAATTTGTTTAATTGAATGTGAACAGGAAGACAAGACACCTTCCATTTCGGCCTTGGAGGAGGTTTTCTTCTGGTTTGTTGATGATATGGAAGTAACCCATACAAAGCAGGTTTCCAGGGCCGGCGGGTGATGTGGTAGTTAAGGGCGCTGGACTCCCACATGGCCAACTGAAATTCTAGTCTTGGAACTGGTGGCTTGCTTTCTCACTTTCCCTCTCTCTCACTTACTCTGTCCCTCTCTGGTGAAATTAAAATAAATAAATAAATAAAGTTAATAAAATAATTCTTTAAAAAAAAAAAAAAGCACTTTTCCTAGGGTTTTGTCCTTCAATGTTGAGACACACTATCAGAGGGTCTGGCTTCTGTTTAACATCCCCACAGCTTCATCTCGCCCACCACCCAGCTTAAATTAACAGTATATCACACTGGGGCCAGCAGGTGGAAGAGGTTAAGGTGCTGGACTGCCACATGACGAGTCCCAGACCCGAACCTGGATTGAAAATCAAGCCAGGCATGTGTGCATGCATACCCAAAATCCTGAGAGGAAGCTGGAAAAGAGGGGTTGTGGTGTGGCCATCCCCCCGAGGGGTGATTTCTCACTTCTCCTCTATCTCTCTCCGTCTCCCACAAGTGCATTAGCCCCATGGCCAAAAACCTTTAAAAAATAAATAAATAAAATTATAATCCCACTGAAGAACTTGTAGTTTCCCAAAGCCTCAAAGACCTTTACTAAGGGAATTTGCACTATTGTTTTCAGCCAGATACCATCCCAAGCCCTTTACACGAATCCTTCCCTTCCTCCTTACCTCTACTCCTTCTTAGTTGTCCTTCAGATCTTAGAAGGTATTTCATCATCTATATGATTACTGCTCCTTGACTATACAATTCTAAGTAGGGGCTGGGTGTTTTGTATTCTAGTTTCCCCATTTCTTACAAAATAACTTTCAAAGAGCAGATGCTTAATTAATGTTTGGGGAATGAACAAGACACTGAACATGAATTCTAGTTTATAAACATTTTATTTGTTCCAGCATTGTTCAGAAAACTATGCAAATGCAGGTATGTATCTTTTATTTTTATAGATGAAGTTAAAATGAAGGAAAACAAGAAGTGGACATCTTTTACTTTTTCCCCCCTTCTATTTCTAGATTCCAAACATTTTACTGGTAATTCTTTCACATTTCCATGGAAAAGACTATGACCATACCATTTTCCTTTGTTCTGCTTCACTAAGTATAAACAGTCTCAGACTTTATTATACTATATTAAAACTTCTACTCTTAAACATACAAAACAGCAATACATGTGTAACAAGAGTTATTAACTTAGATTGTGGATTTATTGAGACTTAATATTAAAAAATATATCATGTGAAACATATGGGATAGAAAGAAAGAAAAAAGAACAAAATCTTAGTTACTCATATAGAACAGGAACACAAAGATACACTGTATTCCCTCCAGATCTACTCTGGGTATCCACTACTTAGAATGTTGATTGGCCTTTTCTTCCACAAAGAAAACAATCTTCTTCAGGCTTTAAAACTTGAAATATAACCTAGAGAAAAAGAAAGAAAAGTCCAAGTTACAAACACATGTCAGGAGAATAAAGACAATAAAAACTTATTCTCTCCAGCCCCACATGGCCCTCTACTATTAGAATTTCTGTTGACAGACCTTTTCAAACAAACAATGAGGAACCAGACTCATATTTCACTTAGCATGGGAGAAGCCACTGGCCAAGGTTCTGGAACGTGCACTGGCCATGACAGCAGTGCGAGCCCTGGCTGCAGCTCTGGCTTGAGCTCTCTCTTCCTCATCTTTTGAAGCCTCTTCATACAAAGATGGAAAGGCAGTAGGGATAGTACCATGGACTCTGGCCAAAAATTCCAGGATTTTCATCTTGCTGGTTTCTTCCTGAGCTCTTGGACCCCATAAGAATTCATAGCGTAGAGGATCGCTGTTGGGCACCTGGCGGTACTCTAGATACTTTAGTTGCACCAAATCTTCGGTGATGACCTTCTTCGGTTCCCCATAGATGAAATGCTTCCTATCAGCATATACACCCATCATATTGAGCACTTCCCAGACATCCTCTTCAGGGGCACAGTTGCCTTTCATGAAGATCACACCAAGCACAATCATCAGGAGGCCGGTTTTGGGCATGCTCTCTTCATCACTTATCAATCCATCAATAGCGATGTCTAGTTTGCTGACAAGGGTATAGCGGTGCCTGATGGGATCCACTTCCTTTAAATCAACACCAAAGGCCAGCTCCATGTGGTCAGAAGCTCTCTTGAGGATTTCATTGAATTGAGACTTGTACTTTTTGACAACAAACTTCAGCATGTCTGCCTTCGTAATCAGCTCCTTTTTTTGATATTTCTGTAGCAGGAACTGAACCAACAAAACCACTTTCTTGTTTAAAGGGTCTTTGTGCAAGCTCTCAGTGCTGGTTGAGGAATTTGGACTTCCCTCAGGTTGGCTATTGACATCTTCATCTGAACTGTTGTATGAAACAGCTGCAGTAGTATTGGCGGTGGATGGGACTTTCTGAGGCACCTTAGGAGTGTCAGGTGTCACAGAAGCAGGAGAATTCTGGATTGTATCCTTAGAGAAAAGATTGGCAGAGGAGGAAATCCCTCCTCCTGCTGCAGTGGCCTCAGCACTCTCTAGGCCCTGTTTTTCACCACGGGCCTGGCGCCGTTTCTCACGGGCACGGAGCTTACTCTTCCGACCTCGAGGCATGACTCTATTCAGAAGCAGCAGGCAGTAGTACAAGCAGTTGGGTTGAAGAGGGCACCCTAGAAGATGGAGGATGAGATAGTGAGTAAAGCTTTGGTAGGGAGATTCTACCTTGGCTCCAAGAATGGTTGCCTCTGCTGATGCCGTGAGGGTACTGCTTTAAGATCCCACAAGGCAGAGGCAGAGTGGGACCCTGTTCTGTGAGAGCTCATCATCCCAGTTCTAACTTAGGACATCGGCTTTACTCCTGACCAGTCCTTTGACTCCTCCCTCTGCTGATTTGAAGCTGCCTTTAGATCACCTACATATCTAACAGATTCCCAATAGGAATTCGGGCGTTAAACCTAACGGTTGTGGTTTGCACAGCCAGGGTTGACAGTGGGGACAATGTGAAGCAGAGTAGTGTAGTCTCTGTAGGATCATCTCTGTTCTGAGAAAAATGTGTCCCTGCATTTCTAAAAATTACCTTAATAGTTGTCAGATCTTGGGACTTTCACCACTGCAGGAACCGTTGGCCAAGGCCTCTTGCGTCACCGCCTGGTAGGGGGAAGTCAGAACCAGCTGCTTCCGGACATGCCCACTTGACCCATCTCGCATAACGGCAGGGGCGGGGGCGGGGCTTTATCAACCCCTCCATTCTTGGGGGAGCACGTTTCCAGAGAACTCTCATAAAGACGTTTCATTGACTTTCTGCAGGGCTCTCTGCTGAACTGAATCAGCCGTCCTTACAAGCAAAAATCTTGGTTCTGCCCAGAAAGCCCCCCCCCCCGTCGGGAATCTGAGTCTAGAGGCCATGCCTGAGACCTCACATGACTGACAGCAGGGCTGGGGCTTTGCTGGGGCTTTGCAGGGTCTCTCTTGTGGGGTGGATGGTGCTCTCAATCCTTGCTCATTGTCTTACTTTGACTCCTTGTAAGTGTTGAGCCACCTTGAGTTATCTTGGGGCATCCTGGGGCATCTTCATCTAATTTTTGTATTAAGGGGGGCTAGCCTTTTCAAGCAGTTGAATAATTTCCCATTTATAAGACTTTACTTTCCAGAGTAATGGATTTTTTTTTCACCATTTGGCTGAACGGGATTCCAAACCTATCTGTTTCTGGAAGAGTTTATGGTTGCCTAGGGTTGGGCCACAGTCTCAGTTTGTATTGCTTGAGTTACCGTTTTCTCTTTTTTTTCTTTTCCTTCTTTCTTTTCTTTTCTTCTTTTTTATTTATTTTATTTTTTGTAGACGTATTTTGCCTTTGGGTGTGTGCACTTGCTAGAGAGAGACAGAAACAGTGAGAGGTACCTGACATTCAGCATTGTAATCTTAAATAGTTACAAGAAGAGACATGTTCAGAGTAAGAATTATTTATTTGTTTGTTGGAAAGGCCACTCCAGACATTATTAGGAGATGTGTGGTATACATTGTCTCTTTGTGGTGATGTTGCAGTCATTCAGCTTCATCGCCCTCATCCAGTCACAGAATTATAATTCTCTAAATCTGGCATTGCTTTTGAATTTGTTAGTTGAGAAACCTTAGTCTAAAGTTTTTTATGTTTTTGTAATTTTAAATAATGAAATATTTCATTTGAAAACTAGACCAGTTGATACTTGGTTAAATAATTTATCTGTTATTAAAGATTATTGATTAGTTGTGTTGAAATAATCAACGTTCAGGCCCTAGAGTTTGTCATATGACATATTATTTGTGCCTTCAGATAGCTATAATTTTGGAAAACAGAACAGTTTACTATAACTTTTTTTTTTAGGAAAGCTAATCAGCATGCTAGTATGGTTTTATTTTTTCTTTATAAATTTGAATGCTTATATGTTAGGTAGTATGAGTGTTACTGTCTTAGATTATATGCATATAGGCATGAAAAATAAATGTGGCATTCTTACCTCTTAGTTCATAAACTCATTTAATATATGGCTGCTGTAATAGAAAGTATACCAAGATTCTATTAATTTATGTGGTGAATACAGAAATATTTCATTTGATTGAATAAATATGTTAATTTTTTGTTTCACACTATTAAAAGAAATTTTTTAACTTCTCACTTCACTTATTTGTAGAGTTAGAGTTAGAGTTTTCAATAAATATTTATTTCTTCAGTATGTAACTTTTGGGACATGTTTCTAGGTTAATAAGCCTAGAGGTAAAGAATGTTTCAGAGCAGAGATATTTAGCCATGAGTGAGGAGTCTTAGGTTAAACTTAATTTTTATCACCATTTGGCTGTTAGAACTGGTTTTAGAGCTTTATATCTTCTCTATTTTCCCTCTCTCCATGTCTCCCTACCCTCCCTGAATAATATAATAACACCTCAAGCAGAAGAAGGCTTCTAAAGTGATCGGACAGGAATTTTATCTTTTCTGTGATTGAAAACCTGATTTGTCTTTACCGTGATTCTATTCCAGTCCAATGTGAATTACTTTTCCACTCTTTTTATTTATTATTATTTAATTTTACCAGAGGGCACATGTACTTGTCAGAGAGAGAGAGAGGGAAGGAGAGAGAGATGGGGGGGAAAGAGAGACAAAAATGGGAAAGCACCCCCCCCCATGGGGCATGGTCATGCCACAATCCCTTCTCCTCCAGAGTCTGTGTAGCCATATATTAGAGGAAAGGTGGAAAGGTATGGGCTTGAGATGTACATCTGAAGTCATGATCACATAATTGAAAATAGAACCAATGGACATGAGTAAGAGTGGTGAGGGAGAAAGAAATAAAAAATATGAAGGAACTCCAACACTTACAGAATAAATAGAGAATCATACTTATTGTAGAAGACTTAGAACATATAGAAGATAATTTAATCACCCATAATGCTACTGCACATACATAGACATTATTAACACTTCTGTTCCAGAACTTACAGTCCCTGTGAATATCTGATAAATATTTTTACTCTTAGTTAACAGACATAGTAAGTGCTTACTCAATGTAAGTGAATAAATCAATCCACTTAGAATAGGGTTAAATTGCAAGCATAATAAAGCAAATAAATAAATACATTCTAAAAAGCATTAAACCTATATAATCAATACCTCTAGTTATGGCTTGTAGAGAATATGGCTACAATTAAACATGTGGCATTCTATCCTGTACTTGCTTCAGAAATAAAAAGGTTATCACAACTTGGAAAATAGAGTAAAGGAATTTTCACTGTGGGTGGCTGCACTTCACTATATGAAGGACAACACAGTAAATGCACGTTATGGAGGGAAAGTAGAATAACTCATCATCGGCATTTCCTAGACTAAGTCATTTGTGTTTCTATTCAAATGAATTAAAACTTTTTTTTTTCTAATTTTAACTTGAACAGCTTTTAAAAATGCTAATGTCAACATGCATAATGTGTTTTTAAATGCACATAAAATTCATTTGAAAGAAAATAAGATGATTGTGTGCATTGTACTTACATGTTAATACAAAAGTGATGGCAAATTGGCTTTTATTATGAATGTATAAAATTTTGCATTTATATTAATGAGTTCCTTTTCTACTTTCAGTGGCACATATGGGGTCTGTTGTGATCATATTTTGTATGATGTAAGACACCCAGCTGAGCCTAAGGATGAGCATGATATTTAATGATCTCTTTTCTCAGAATGAATAAGCAAACTTTGAAGTAATGAACTTCTTCATTGTTTAGTTACAGTCATGCTTTTCTGGAATTTAAGAAACTCTCATGAGGATTATTAATTTCAGGTTCCAGTGCATATGCATGTAATGTTAATTTTTGATAACTATTAAGTCATATGTGCATGTAGTGTCATTTTAATTAGTTATTCACAAAGGACTTTGGACTCTCATGTGAAAAGAAATCTTCCCTATTAAATTTTAGTTTTAATCTAGGTCTTTAAATATAAGTTTTGTCTTAGCAACTCTGTAGTTCTTTTTTGTTTGTTTGTTTAGGTTTTTACCATAGGGTATGTGTGCTCACCACAGAGGAGATAGACAGAAGGAAAGTGAGAGCCATAGAGTGTGTGTGCTCACCACAGAGGGGAGAGACAGAGAGAGGGAAAGTGAGAAGTCATCTCCCGGGGGGTTGACCATCCACTTCAGTCTCCTCTTGGGACTTTCAGCATGCACGCACATGTGCCTGGTGTGATTTCAAGCCACTAAGTCTGGGACTTGACCTGGAGTCAGCCAAATAAGAATCCAGCCTCCTCAATCACCATGCCACCTGCCAGCTCCTATAGTTTTTAAACTTAATTTTTATTTGACATTTTGAAAGTATTCATGTATGTAACTAAAAAGTAAGATATTTTTTAAATATTCATGACAGTGACATATAGGATATATAGATAATAAAATATATACAGTGCAAAGATAATATTTGAAAATCTCAAAAATAGTTTCAAGCAACCTTTCCTTTTAATGTTTCTGTTATACTAAGCATTTACTATTTGAATGAAACTATTTTTTGTTCTTTTTCTTTGGTTCTTTGACTTGATTGGATAAATGCCCAAAAGACAAATGCCAAAAAAGAAAAGTCACATAACAATAACCAAGCTGTTGCTAAATCACACACATTTACTTCAGACTTAAACATCATGGAGAAAAAAAAAAAGAAAAGAACAAAATAAAATAAAGTGAAACAACCATTTACATATTTTATGAAACATTTACAGCCCTGGTGCAAAAACATCAACCATAATAGCAATCTGTTCGCTGACAAGATTGATCTTGGACCACTTGGACTATTGTGTAGTGCTAAACCCACTTTCAAGCATATCCATTATATCAGTACTAGAATAGAAATTTTAAAAGTTTTCCCATATAAAATTTTTCTCTTGCTTTTGTAAACTGGAAACTTCTTTTTCTTTAGGGAATGGATCTGTAAAAGAGATACATTACTGAAACAGTGAAATCCGTGGTTTTTGTAAGGAGAAAAGTTGATGTGACTGAAAAGTCATAGTAAATACTCATTCAATGTTAATGAATAAATAAATCCACTTAGAATAGTATTACATTGCAAACTTAACAGTGAATAAATAAATAATAATATTCCA